AGTTTGTACTACAGCCTCAGCACTCTCACAGTGAGGAACATTTTTAAATGACTAGTCTTACTAGTCTTAAGGTATTTATGTCCAGCAATAACTTCTCGTTATCTTTTCTGAGTAGTTTCTGCTCTTGGCCTCTTTTGCTACACACTAGAGGAGTAAGTGTAGCCACAGAGGAGTGGAAGCACACCGACTACGTGCTCGTGCAGATGAACTGAATACCATGGCAACAAAGAGGAGACATTTCAGCTGATGAATGTTTTTCCAGACCTTTTACACAAGAACTAGATGTATGACATGCCATGGCACATAAGCAGACCTTTATGAACATGCTCACAGGACCAGATCTATGCTTTTCTCCAACGCTAGATCTGAATCAGTGGAAATGAAGTATTTTTAACTTCTGTTCGCAGAGGTAAAATGAAGTCTAGAAAATATGTATGCAGGGATAAATTAATGGGATGACAGTGCAATTTATCATCCTTATACAACCAGTAAAGGCATAAGGGGACAAGGATTCAGGCTGTTATCTGATGTCAGCTATGACTGGTCTGTTACACACTGAGTCAGGTAATTAGCCATGGCTCACACATGTGTTCTCTATGCTGTGTCTGTCTCCAGTTCTGTATAAACATTGTGTCAGAAGTATTTCAGTCATAAACTTTGCCAGCTGGTGAAATGTAGAGGGGGCAAAGTAATTAGACTTGCTTGGAAATTTCCTTACAGAGCATTTTGCCACTGAAAAATACTAGTTCATACAAAACAGACTGTATGAAACCATGAGTTTTGTCAAAATTCTGTGTTTTCTGCAGGCACAGAATACCATTCCAATTGCCCACTGCAAAATAATTTTTGTCACTTTCTTCTAAAACTGATACACATACTACTACCGCTAACATTAATTTATAAGAAAGGCAAACTTTAGACTTTTCTATTTTATGGAAATGGGCTTTTCTTCACATTCAATAGGGCTTAAATTCTTTTTTTATTTTGCATAATATTTTAATTTCATAATGGAGTTTTCTCAAAGTAGAAAACCTGGGTCACAGCTCTTCCAAGTAACACCAGTTTGCACAAGGGACCTCCTCTGAATAGCAATGACATGCTTCAGATGGTATCTTTTTTACTCTGCAAGTATCAGAACAGTTAAGGATGAAGCCTGTTTCTCCTATTACCAGAACAAATAATTTTCTTTCCACTAAAAAGTGCTGCACCTGTAATTATGGATCTATGTCCTATAAGCATTGATGAAACAGCTGAAATACTTACAAGGGACAAGGAAGTTTAAACATCTGTCCCATTACATAGAAAAAATGTCTAAACATCCTAGATTGCTGTGGAAGTCTCAACCAAGGTGGGGCAGGAAGGGCTTAATTCACCTACAGCTCCTATTTGTTCAGAACCAAAAAGCAAGTTGTTGGATTGCTAAGACCTCTGGCAGAGAACCGTTTTTCTGTATATAGTGTGGGTTATAGGTTTGTGGGAAATGGAAATCTGAAAGTCTCTGACATGCAGGTTAAGATGCTGAGACAGAAAGGCAGGAGTGAGGGCTTAGAATACCAGGAAAACTAAGAACCATGGCAGTAGGTGATGACAGTGGGGTTTAGGAGGTACAGAACAGCCAGGGAAGTTCTAGAGGTTGAAGTAGTCTGGGTAAAACAGAAAAGAGATGTGGCCATGAACAGAACTGAACTGTATGGGTTCACAAGGTCAGGTACTGAGAAGAAAAGCACGCTCTGAGAGTTCATCAGGATTGTGTGCTGCCAGAACCACTACACTGGAAGAGACAACAACTCATGTCACACTTCTTATCAACCCATCAAGCTCCAGCTTAAAACTTACTCCCTGTTTCAGAGCTTCCCTGTTCTAAGGGCAGAGAACCTAAATTTAATCCAAATCCACCAAAGGCTCAGTCCCTGCTATACGCTGCAGTGCAAGTGCTTCTTTCCCTCTCTCCCTGCTGCCCTAACACAGACCCACAGCACAGCGGCCTCCCTTCCTTTCCCTGCCAGACCTGCCCTATTCTCTGATAGCTGCATAGAGCTGACCCGGGGTGAGAGAAGCTGGGCCCCGGGGGCACAGGACAGCCCTCCGGGGCCGAGGGACTCGGGAGTGTGTGGTGTGTATGGAGGCCCGAAGGGCGCGGGCTGTCCCGGCCGGCCCCCACCTCACTTCCAGCGCGGCCTCCGCGGCCGAGGGGCAGTGGCGGCCCCCCGGGGCCTCAGCGCGAAGCTCCTCACTAGCCGGGCCCGCGCTCCGGGCCTCACCGGCCGCCTCCATCGCCTCACACCACCACCAGCCTGTTTACACCAGTCTCCTAGGAACAACAACAGTTTCTGCTATTAGCTGACGAAACACCTCCCGCCAGGCTTAAAACAGTGAGCTGATTGGCCTGCGCTCGTGCGCCAACCAACCAACGAGCACGGGTAGGTACTTAAAGGGCCAGCAGCCATAGAAGAAGGAGCATGTGTGGTTTCTGTCCTGGGCGGGAGAAACCTAAGTACAAAGTGATGAGACGAGCTCTCTGTAGCACATCCGCCGTTCTCACACGGGCACCGACCTCTGGCTGATGGGGTAATTCTGCCTGTCAGTCACCGATATCTGCGGCCTTTAACCTGTGTGATCATTGCTGCCGTGTCTAGAAAGCAGGTAGCTTTACCAGGCGTAGAAGTGAATCCGCCTCAGGGAAGAGACCATGGGTTCCTTCCCTCGGCCACCCCACGGGTCCTTGCTGTGGCTGCACGCTCGCTGCTCCCGTTCCAGCGGCACTTGGTCTTTCACTTAGTGAGGCAGCTGTACCTGTTCTCCCATCACTTCTCTTGTTTTTCCTTTCATGAGGTACCACAGTTCTTCTTGGGATGTGTAAGACAGCGCTCCTGAAGTTTCAAAGAGAGCTGTGGAGAAGTTGACCACTGGAAAGAAGAGAAAGTACAGCTACAATCTTTCTCTATGTACTTACGGCTTTTAGCATGGTAACGCAGTAAGAACCTCCAAGTATTTTAAAAGCAGAATTAGCAATAACATCTCCTTTTCCCTTTTCTAAAGCAAGAAATGTTATTTATAGTGTCTCACTTGCTTGTGCCAGTTCATTATTACTTATCTGTACAGTGGCAGTGTGCAGTTTTGCGATACAGCTACGCACACACAGTGCTACAGAGCAACGATGGGGAGTGGCACTCCTGCCCAGAGGCAGCAGGACAAGCCTGTAGCTTACCTCTAGTCTCCACAAGTGCTCTGTATGCCATGCAAAACCAAGAAAGGATGAGGAAATGGGTTTATTTTTCCATAGTGCCTTTGAGGGGCTATTGTAGCATGTGGATTTTGTGATGCTGCTTTTGGTTCCTACGTGCCTGTCTCTGGGCTGTGAGTTAGCAGGCTGCCTGTGTTCTTCTTAATTGCTAAAAGAAACGTCAAATTAATTTTCTCTTTTTTCATGACCCAGAATGTTGCTGAATCTTTCTTAAGGGCAGGCACTCAGAGGAATGAGAAATATGTCCTCTAACACAGGTTTTTTTTAATGATAGGAGAAATTATTTTGTTGGCAAAGGACATCTTATGCAAAGCTTCTGTTTGCCTAGGGCATGGCAGGCTTGTGCAACAAATTACCACTCCCTTTCACTGCTGAGCTGCTTATTAATTACATAATCAAACAGCAATGACTTACCAAAACATCATATTGTTCTTCTATTCAAATGGATAATGGTGTCAGGTTCATGGTCACTTTACTAGTGGCCATCTCTGTTTGCCTTCAGGAGTGATCACCACAGAAAATATTGGTCTTTGTGACATGATGCCTGAGGCCCAACGCCAGTGACAATCAAATCAAAAGTCATCAACAGGCAAAACTTCCCCACTGTGCAAGCATGGATCCACTGAGGAGACTGGAGAAGCTCCAGTTCCTCTATTAGCCTTGGGGGTTTGACAGAGACATGTCCATCGCCAGGAGGGCCAGGACGATCCCTCCCTTCAGCTACGGCTGCCCCAGCCCTCTGGTGCCTACAAATGTGCCATTTCCTAATAATGTACAGATCTGACCTGAAGGTTGGGTGGAAGTGTGTGGAGCCCCAGGAAGGGAAGCATTTTACTTTGGGGACCATAGATCAACTTGGACACTGTGTGAAACGCATTAAGAGGAAAGCTCCTCCATTTCCACTATTATACCCCAGGAAAAGCTGGTGCAAGGAAGGCCCTGGTGCCCTCACCTCAACTGAAAAGGAAGCAAAAGGGATGGAGAGGACTTCAGTCTGTGCTTCGGTTCTCTCTTTTGCTCTATGCACATACTGTTGCTCCCACACGTCATGTTTGCAGAAGCAAGCACGAATCCCTTTATGATTGCAAGGTAGTAATTAAATTAAATCTAACATTTGCTGCACCCCTTTATCTGTTAGGTTATCTGTTGTCTCCTTTTGGGTTTTCATCATGAAGCAGAATAGCTGCAGGAGAGAGAAACCCTCCTTGTTATCCTCAAGGTGGGATTGGATTTTGAAGAGCAATAGGTGATGCAGTGCTGCCATAGCAGAAGGCCTGGCCCAGGAGGCCCTGTCCGGGGAGGAGGCAGTGAGGGAAGCGGAGGAATGCCTGGTGCCTCACCAGCTGCTGGAGGCACCACTGGAAAAAACCAGGCCTATGGGGTGGAATTTTGTCATAGGTTTCCCATTTAAATGGGAGTGCCAGCTGGGGTGGGTTGTGCTGCGGTATTAAAGAAGAGAGCATTAAGAGCAGCTTAATAGTGCCGGTCGCAGCGAGCGGGTCAGCACCCACGGTGGGGAGGAGAGTCAGCTCAAGGAGGGACCACCGGGCTGCTCGACGCTCCTCCCACCCGAACCCAAGCTTTCCCCGCTCCGTGGGTGCCAGCCACCTGAGGCTGGGCGCCGACAACCCCCGGGGGAGGGAGGCAGGCCCACGCACAGGCCCTGACACCCAGCTCGCTGCCCGCTCACCCCGGCAGCGGCCGACACCCCGCTGAGGGGCGGTAGTGTCCCCCCCTCGGGGCCGGCGTGGGCGGGGACGGCACGGCACGGCACGGCACGGCACGGCACGGCACGATACGATACGATACGATACGATACGATGGTGGGCGATCACTCACGCAGCCTGGGCAAGGGTAAGCGGCGGCCCCGGCGGGCAGGGAAGCGGGCAGCTGCCGTATCGCCTCGGCCGGGGCTGGGCGGCCTGTGGAGGGAGTGCGGGCCTGTGGATGAGGGGAAAAACGACTATAACGGTCGCAACGGCTCTCTCCTCTCTCCTCAGGTAGCGCGGCCCCGGGGCCTGTGCCTGAGGGGGTGATCCGGCTGTACAGCATGCGGTTCTGCCCCTTCGCCCAGAGGACGCGCCTCGTCCTCCGCGCCAAGGGCATCAGGTGAGGCCTTCCCGGCGGGCCGGTATGGCGCGGTGCGCGGCTCCCCGTCGGCCGCCCTGCTCCGCTGGCTGTCGTCCCCCTCCCCCGGTGCCGCTACACCCCGCGCTCCCGTGACGGTCTGTCAGGGCTCGCACGGAGCAGGGGGCGGTTCAAGCTTCCCTTCTTACCTGGGCATCCTAAATGGGCCTTAAACATCCCCAAAAGAACTGGATGAAAAAGGGTTTCTGTGGGTGATTTTGCTATAAAGCTTGAACTTCTTAGGACTTTTTTGGGGAGCAGTGTCTTGCTGACGTGGGAAATAAGTAGGCTGTGTATGAAATCAATTATGTAAAGGCCCAAAGTAAATCTGTAGGGGAAAAAACCCAAGCTGATTTTTTTTTTCTCACCTGTCATCCTGAATGTTTACAATAATAGTACTTGAGCTTGTCCTGGGTAAATGTGAGTAGAGCCTTAACGTATGTTGTTGTTTGGTTTTGATGTAAGCTGCAGTGAAAATTCTGGGAGATATGAATTTTAAGTGTTTCTGTTACGTTACCGCTTAGCAAAATACAGTAGTGAGTGAGAGGCCTTTTTAAAAGAGGAAATGTACTATGTTCCTATAACGTCTTCTCATTCCTGTACTGTAGTAAGTTAATGGAATTCAGTACTTGTGTTTGTTTCTTTTTCAAGATAGCCATGTCATTTCAGTGTGTTTCAAATGGAGACTAATGCTTCCCTCAGTTTACAGCTTCAAAGTGACCAGGTTTTCCACCTGCTGATTCCCACCAGGTCCCAGGCCTGCCAACAGTTTGTTAACCAGCACTGAGCTGGGAGTCCATGTTAGCATAGTGAACGCTTACTGCTCGGTTCTTCTGATAGCAAGATGAGAGTTGGGTTTGCTTGTTTGTTTTATTTTTTTCTTGGGTCTCTTTTTCCAAAGAGTAGGTGCACTACAACTTCCCGGTCAGTTTAATTTTGTTTTTATTTAGTATCTTTGGACTGATTTTTGGAGCTGGGAGGTTTGTTTTAGTATAGTTATTTTGGAGGGGTTTTATTGCTACCTAAACATGGTAGGTGTCTTCTGGTAATGTTTCAGTTGTTTTGAAGGTTCAGCTGTGTTTAGCAGACCTTTGGGCTTACTAGGAATTTTATAGGGTCACACATATAACACAGCATATAACATGCTTTGTTAATATAACAGGCGTATTTCCCATGTGCCTTTTTTATCAACATCTATTTTGCCTTTACCCTGCACACCTGTTCTATGTGAGGCCATGGGGGGGAAGATAAGTAGGTATGATGGTCTCCTGATTTGCTCTTTGGTGTAAGATCAGATTAAAGTTCAACTGCATTTCTTAATTGGAGTGTTGCTTATTTGCAATCAAGTGCTTCTTTCTTAGAATGTCCCTGAACCTGCATGTGATAAGTGTGCTGCATCCTGAGCTTGACCTTTGTTTTTAGCATGACTATAAGGGCTGCCTCTGTGTGCTTGCAGACTGTTCATGTGTCTTTTATTAGTTTAACAAACAACTCATTGCAAGTCAGTGCTGATTTTCACCAGCAAAGGGAAGTGCTCCCTGGCAGTATTTCTACTTGTCAAAGAGTTAATTTTGCGAAGGACTTCAGGGAAGACTAAGGACAGCAGGGGAACGAGGATTCAGCCTCTCAAGTACTGTAGCTGTTGAGGTGTAATGACTGCATTTCACCATGGTGTGGAGTGGACTGTAGCAGAACTGAGCCTGTTTGGGTCTTGTTTCTTTCGCTCTTTTAGCCATGAAATAATCAACATCAATCTGAAGAACAAACCTGACTGGTTCTTTGAGAAGAACCCCTTTGGGCTGGTTCCTGTTCTGGAGACCAGCAAGGGCCAGCTGATCTATGAGTCCCCAATCACTTGTGAATATTTGGATGAAGCATTTCCAGGGAAGAAGTTGATGCCTTCGGACCCATATGAGCGAGCCTTTCAGAAGATGCTCTTGGAACACTTCTCAAAGGTACTGCGTGATCAGGGTGGGATTGTGTTTCTTACTTTACTATAGCACCAAAAACTTCAGCTCTGTTACCAATGCTGCTTTTGTCCTTTAAGAGAGAGGTCTTGTGTCTGGGAGAAGCATTTAAATAACTGAAGGGGTTATTTGGGGTCTCTTGCTGTGAGCATGTACAAACCACTGTGCATCTGACTTGCTCCCAGCGTTTATGTGTGGGGATGGATGCAGGAAAACAGCCAAGCTAGTGAAAGTGTATATGACTGAGGCAGGATTTTGAGTATCCTACAAGAGAGGCAAGGTTAGTAGACCAAACTAGCTGAATGCTTGAGACCTAGGCAGTGACAATTGCCATATTTTGATCTGAGTCTTTCTGTAGGAAGTACTGTATGAATGCAGAATGTGAAGAGTGCCTGACTGAGAGAGCCTACAACCTACAAGAGATGGCAGGTGGCTGTAGACATCGGACATGTATAAGGAGACTGGTTTTGGCTCTCAGTAGGGATTTGAGGTGGGCACTGTGGCTGACTGGAAGTAACCTCTCTGTACCCTAAACATAGATAATAGAAGCACGTCCTTTGAAGGGTCTAGGAAGTGAAAGAAGTCAGCTTGGATATGAGGCAGCAGAGGAGAGGAAGCAATGGAAGATGCAAAAAGATGTGGACAAAGAAGGGGGATAGAAGGGAGGATATATTTATAGAATCATAGAATAGTTTGGGTTGGAAGGGACCTTTAAAGGTCATCTAGTCCAATCTTCCCTGCAAGGAGCAGGGACATCTTCAACTAGATCAGGTTGCTCAGAGCCCCGTCCAACCTGACCTTGAATGTTTCCAGGGATGGGGCATCCACCACCTCTCTGGGCAATCTGTGCCAGTGTTTCACCACCCTCAGCATAAAAAAAAGTCTTCCTTATATCTAGTCTGAATCTACCCTCTTTTAGTTTAAAACCATTACCCCTTGCCCTATTGCAATAGGCCCTACTAAAAAGTTTGTCCCCATCTTTCTTATAAGCCCCCTTTAAGTATTGAAAGACTGCAAGAAGGTCTCCCCGAAGCCTTCTCTTCTCCAGGCTGAACAACCCCAACTCGATGTCTTTCCTGTGCTGAGGGCTCCAGACCTGGATGCAGTACTCCAGGTGGGGTCTCACCAGAGCAGAGTAGAGGGGCAAAATCACCTCCCTTCGACCTGCTGCCACGCTTCTTTTGATGTAGCTCAGGATACAGTTGGCTTTCCAGGCTGCGAGCTCACCTTGCCGGCTCATGTCCAGCTTTTCATCCACCAGTACCCCCAAGTCCTTCTCAGCAAGACTGCTCTCAATTTACAACAAGCCTTTCTGAATAGGCATGATGGGAAGAGGGTTACGGGGAAGCATGTTATGAGAAATGAAACGTACGCTGAATGTTGGTTGTTTGAATGACAAGATCTTAGAAAAATGTTTGTCTGTGAGCTTTTAAGACTATAATTTAGTTAAGCTTGGCCACTGGGCAGCTTCCTGGTACTGTATGCTAATTTCTCTGACAATTACCAAATTAGAAAATGCACCGGTCTGTAGAAGCCTGCGTATCCTGGGCTGCATATCTCTTTCTTAAAGTACCTTAAATATTGATAATTAAAGTGCATTTGGATTTCAGAAATGTGTAACTGGGCAGAGTACCACTCTGCACCTTGCTACTTTTTTTGCTACTTTTTTGGTAGTGTGTGCAAATGGGAAACACGCCCTTCTTTTCATTGTTCTCCTCTTACTACAAGATTAAAGTTCATTAGTATTTGCATTCATTCTTCCTTTAAGCATTTGCTTACCTTTTCTGAAGTATAAAAGATTTTTATTAATGGACTTTATTTAACTCTTTAAAGTTAAATCCTTAAGATTTAACTTGCATCTAGTATCTTAACATCTTAAGCTCTGAGTGACTTGTATTATTGTAATAGAAACATTAAAACCTTTATCCTTTCCTTTGTATAGATAACACCCATAGTTTTCAAGTATCTTGTGGCAGGCAAAGAAGGAAAGGACACCACGGCACTGAAAGCAGAGATTGCTGAAAAGTTTGGCAAACTTGAAGAGGTAAGAGTATTTCATGGTAATGAGCTGGTTGCCAGTCACTGTATGATCCCTTTTTTCTTTCATGCTTTGGCCTTCGGAGCTAGATCTCTTCTCCTTCAGGTGGTAGTTATAGCAATGAACAATTTTTCAATTTACTCCCTCCAGCCTAGGATGCACAAGAGCACCATTAGAGTAAATTCCAAGTAGCTAAACTAAACTTCATCTGTATGATGAAGGCTGTGTGGACTTGTGGAGTTTTCTGAATTCTAGCTGACTGCTGTTGTCTTAGATATCTTTGTTGTGCTTTAAATGTAAGGAGACCTTGCAGCATGTTCTAAGAGCAAGGGCTGAGGAGTCTGAGCTGCTGAAAAGCATCTGTGCTGTGGCTCTGCTGAAATCAGTGCAGATACACTGGTAATGAAATAAAATCTTCTTTGTTCAAGAGCTTATCTTTGTCAGGAGTGGGGGGAAGCAGAATGTAATCTGTCCCTTGCAGAAATCCAGCCTTGGGCCGTGTTCTGCTACAGTGGTGTAATGCAACTTCATCAGAGCTCCAGGAAGTGTCAGGTGGCTTTGAAGCTGTATTAGCAACTGATTTAGTGTCAGTAGTTGTTCTTGGCTAGTCTGAACAGCTGTCAGACTTGCCTTTATCATGAACCCATTCCTTCTGTGTTTTTAGCCGTCACGTCTAATGCTTGTCTGGCTCGGTCAAGAAGCATTCCTCCATAGTGTTTCTCTTCTGGTGCAAAGCTACCAATAGCTTTCTAGTACCTTCCTAATTCTTCTAACAGTCCTGCGCATTCTGCTTCCCCACCCCTTTGACTACTCTGAAAACAATTTTACTTTGGCAAGTCTTGTCTGTCTGATCAGGCTGATGCTGGAGTAGTGCAGATGACAAATGAGTTCTTGGGGGAAGCCATGTGTGTTTCACTTCCCTGAAATACAAATCTATTAAACATTAAGGAAGAATTAACCTTCCTCCTGCTTTATTTATGCTGCGAAATACTTGCTGCTCCTTCAGTGTCTCTAGTTTACTATACCCTGAAGAATTTTGCAGCAGCAGCTGAAGGTCAGCTGAGGATGGGAGGAAGGAAGAGAGCCATGTGAACCTCACTCAGCCTATTGCAAGAGATATTCAAGAAGGGAAGTGTTTTGAAACACTGCTGTATTTAGTTTGCTGCTACCCGACAGAGGGAGCTGTGTTTCCGTCTCTGGGACTGTGCAACTGCCAAGTTATATTCTGCCAGACACCTGGTAATTCAAACAGCTTGATGCTTCCTGAAGGACTGCTTGAAAATTTCTACTAGATGTGGGGATTAGGGGACAGGGAGTAAATGCCATAGGAGCGTTGTCCAAATTTGTTGTGTCCCCCAATTTGAAGACAAAGATTTGTAAGGTCTCTTGAGTTCCATGTTTAAAATCCCAAAGTGCCTGAAAACAGGGGAACTAGTCTTATGAAAGAAGAGGCCAAGCTCTGGAGGTTCCTTAAAGCATGTTAAACTTGGATGACCATGGCACTCAAAACATATCAGAAACATAAATGTAACAGGAGAACTTGCTGCATTCTTTGTGGCCCTGCTTTCTGTGCTGAGCTATGGGGAGCTCTTTCTGGTGTGTGTGGATGTTATACTTGCTTACTGTTCCCTTTGCACCTGGAATCAAATCCAGTTCTAGATGTAAGGTTGGAAATGCTGTCCTGACACCACTTGGCCTCAAGTGCCATGGGAAAAGAGTCCCTGCTAAAATGGTGTTCTAGTTTACCTGGATGTTAAATTTAACTGGATTTATTGCTCAAGAAATGCATGTGCATTGCTATGTTTGATTAGTCAGTGCCATTAATGCTTTTTGACAAATAAGAAATCATGAACTGACAGATTCCGAGAGCTAAATTCCTTTTTGTTTGTGCACAAGCTGCAGCTCACTAGTGATTAATATTTTGTGAAAGTTTTTGAACCCCTGGAGAAAAGGTGGACTGACAGTGTATGAAATAGTTAAGCTTGATATTACAGCTGCTTTACTGACTAGCTCTGACTCCCCAGATACTGCACGCACAGGAGAAATGTGCTATTTCTGTATTATTTGCTGTCTGATCCCTTCAGTATGCCTATATTCCACTATGAGGTGGGAATGTTTTGTTACTGTAGCGTCCTGCTGTGGTAATTTTCTCTCTGAGGGCAGTTGTCATCTCTTGCCCCTCACAGATTCTGTCCAAACGCAACACTGTGTTTTATGGTGGGGACTCAATCTCCATGCTTGACTACATGATCTGGCCGTGGTTTGAACGTCTGGAACCATTACAGCTGAAGGAGTGAGTACCTTGCCTAGCTTCTAGTGCATACTGAAGTACCTTGGCATAAATATTCTTTGCATACACTCTGCAGCAATGGGCCACTCTTGGGGGCTGCTGAAGGAAGTTTGTATTGTGTTACAGTTTGGGGGAAGCATCTTCTCAAAAGAGAGATGTTCAAGGATCTTTTGTAAACAGGCTTTCTTTCACCAGGTCTGTTTTCCTACTGTATAATTTTGACAGATCTGGAAGAACTGGTCAAAATACAGGACTCTCTCTCCATCCCTAACATCATAGATGAAAATAGTCTTTATTTGAAGGGAATGGAGGCCTAGGTTCAAATTTCTTGGTCCAAAACCTCAGACTTGAAATGCAGTCTTCTGCTCCTCTTTGGAAATCCTAGCTTGACAAAGGAGAGTGATTTTGTCTGGAGATGGGTAAACTGTATCCTACCTTGCTGTAGCTAATAGATCTGTCCCTGTTGTAATAGCATTTTTTTATACATAAATAAATGTCTTGGGCTGTTATATTCTTAAACAGCTCCAGTTACCATGGTATTGCATTAATATGTACGGAAATGGTATCAAAGGAAAACTATTTTATAGCTGGCTTAAAACAAGACTAAAGAGTCAACTTTTATGAGGAAGTGGGTGATAAAAGTGGAAGATGAGTATAGAACAGTTAGTTGCACCTTGGTGCCTGAACCATTCTTGAAGAACAAGAAAGATGCAGGGAATCCTTAGCATTGAAACTTCAGGCACTGTAAAATGAGGGATTTACTGATGGGTTGCTGACCTACTTTTTCTCCTGTGTGGTCCTTGATTGGAAGGGGAAATATTACAAGCACTATAAGAGCATAGGTCTAGAGTCACTAAGGTATTTTAATGACTGAGGATCTGAGCCATTGTATGTTTAAGAAAAGATGCTTTCTGGGTAAGGGTTAGGAGTTACCTGGAGAAGTTATGCATTAACTAAACTTGGGAGTTGGAAATTGTAATGCAAAGTACTTGGGTCAATCTGCCAGAAGAGAACGAAAATAACAATTTACACTGTTAAGCTTTCAATTTGCCACATGCTGGTTTTTTTCAAATGTGTCTGAGTGGGTTTGTGGATTTAGTCTGTTAGTCGAGTCCTCAGTTTCCTCAATAGACTGCATCTGTGTTTTGAGCTGCTGGGTTGCAGGGTAGTACAAACTGCACAGCTTGTCTTGGTATGCAAGAGAGAGGAGAGAAGAGGTTCATGGGTTGTGTGCAGTGGTTGGGTCCTTCTCCACAGCATTTGCTTCAAGAATCACCATTAACAAAGCATTCCAGAGGGAGGCAGTGGTGCACAAGCCTCTGCCCTCAATTCAGAGCAGATGATAAATAAGAGCTGGGTCTTCTGCAGCCGGGATAACGTAAGCAAAAACATGCTGATATCTTGCACAATAAGTGCTCATTTGTATTTTTGCTCAGCTCTGCAGAGTGCATAAGCTCTGTAAGAACTCTTTCACTCTCCAAATGCTAGTCTGTCTTCTATGATCTGATATGTATTTCCATCATCTGCTCTGAGCTGAACATCATACTGGGAGGGAGAAAGCAAAACAAGCAGCAAAATAGAACCGCTCAAGCTGTTTTGCTTCCTTGATGCCCTCCAAGTTTCCCATTTGCGTTACTCAGTCTCTTTCCTTTTCCCGTAGCTCTTTGAGTCACACCCCAAAGCTCCAACGCTGGATGGAGGCCATGAAGGAGGACCCTGCTGTCAAGGCTACAATGACTGACCCACAGACATTCAAAGATTATCTCCAGCTCTATTTGAAGAACAGCCCTGAGGCATGTGATTATGGGCTCTGAGGTGCCAGTAGGCACATGCTTGCTGAAGTGTCAGTGCTTCTTTTCAGTGTGAGCTGTGGGGATCTAGTGTAATTTGGTGGGGACTTTTCTGTGGTTGCATTTCATAATGGGGAATAAATCTGTGCTGAAAAGGCTGAGAAACCTTCTTTGAACTCCGCTCCTTCCTGTCAGGAGGAGGATGTGCTGGCTTCAGGCAGGAAATGGAAGGTCATTGCTGGCCATGTATATTGCGTGAAGGAAGATGTTGGCTTTACTCAGAGGTAATGTTCTGTTAGCTCTGGCCTCTTTGCAGACATTGCTGGTGGGCAGTCCCTGAACTGACCCTGTTACTTGATTTAAAAATTGTAATACTGGTGTCTTGAAAATAAATAAAAAAGCAAACAAAGTTGTCTTTAAGTGCAGTTTTTTCTTCCTCTTTCCAGGCAGCTATTAGTCACTGGATTGATTGTGCAGAGAGGAGTGAGGCACTGTAAAGGCTAAAACGGATAGTGTGGTCTCTGAAGTTAAGATGCAGTTATCTAGTACAAACTGTCCTCCTCTTTAGATACCACTACTGCCAAACTACTGAACTTGCAACCATATTCGCTTATCCCTGCTGAAGTCACGTTTGCAGGGACCATCTAGTAATGGCTTCCAATTTGGGTGAGATTTGCTAGGGGAGTGTGTGTTTATAACCCTTCTCTGTCCTTCTGAAGTAGGGCTGTGTTTAGTCTAGGTCCTAACCTCAATTATCCTAAAGGCTGGAGTAGGGGGTAAAGCTAACAGAAACCATATCTTGAGCAGAAGGACATATTTTCTGTTCTGCTCCAGAACTCAAAGCGTTGCTATACATGTCAAGTTGTAGGTGAAATCAGAGAACTGAAGTAGAAGGAGTTCAGTCAGAGCATTGCATACTGGTGGTGTCTGGCTGCTGGTGAAGGAATGAATATGTTCTGATCCTGCCATTTGCTTGCTGGAACAGAGCTTTGCAGTTGGACATCTCTTGAAGCTATCCTATATGCTAATATAGCAGAATGGGGACAAGATTATGTGAATCAAAAGTAGTCACAGGAAAGACTTCTTCCTCTCTCTTTTTTTTTTTTTTTTTTCCCCTT